GAGGAGGGTGGGACGTGTTACTGTCGCTGCCGTTCGCTGGTCTTTGTCACTCGCCGGACATGGTGCTCGGTGCTCTCTACGCGATGTCTCTCAAGCTTCTCGACAATCTCACTTTGAAATAGGCACTATGATTACTCCCTCTTTAGGAAAGAGGAAAAGGAGGCCTGGGGAGTTTAAATACCTTGCTCAGAGGCACACGAGGCCTCTACGAGGGGGAGCAGACACTCGAGCAAGAAGAGTCCCAGTGTCACCAGGGCTGGAGAGTTCCTGCTCCCCCCAGGACGCAGACGGTGAAGGCGTCCAGGCTAGAACTGCGCGGCACACGAGCGGGACGTCACATGCTCCTCTCCCAGCCAGCAAAGGGGGAGCGACTGGGGTAAAAAGAGACAGAGACCTCGTCTCCACGTCAAACTGGTTGCAGACGAGAAGCTCCCCACGCTGGTGTCAGCGATAGAGCGAAGCAGAGGAACCCAGGAACAGAGTGGCAGGTCCACTTTCTCCCCTTTAAATAAAGTTCTCCCCTCTCCTCTTGGCACTTTGAAAACTTTCTTTCTTTCACGAACCATATAAACAGCTTGGGAACCAGTGGCTTTCCGTAAAGAAGAGAGAGAGTAAAAATATAGAGATTTAAAGACTCACAGACAATTTCCTTTACCATCTTGCTCCTGCGTTTCCTGCTTTGACTGTGGATTTCCAAACAAGGGTTTAAGAATTTGGAAAAAGAACACAACTGGAAGGGAAGGGAAACACGCGATACCCAGGTGAGCGAGCGGTGCCGGCAGAGCCTGGGCCTGGCTGGGGGCATTCCTCCCACGCCGCGTCACCAGCACCGGCCTCCCAGCGCCTCTCGGGCCGTATGTTTTGTTTCAAAATCACGTTGTTCCAGCTCCAAATAATTAAACAGAGAGGAGCCCAAAGACAGACGGGCACGCAGCGCTCCAGGCACACTCGGTTTCGCCTCCCCACCTCCCAGAGACAAGACGACGACCATAAACCACCAAACTGACCTCATTCTGAAACCCAGGGAGGTCCACTTATGGGGAACAGCTGAGAACTCTTCAAGTCAGCCCTGTATTCTTTTGAAGTAAAAACGGATCTGAGGCATCTTTCCACACGGCAGTATACGCAAATGTGCAGTGCAAATGTTTGTAAACCCGATTTTTGATGTTTTAAAAAACAAATAATAATTTTGCCAACATTTGCTGAATGCTAAGTAGGGCTAAAGAACAGTCGCGTGTCACTTACCGAAGGGGATGTGTTCTGAGAGACGCGTCATTAGAGGATTCTGCTGTTGTGTGAACATCGTAGACAGATGGTACAGCCTATTGTTCCTAGGCTAAAACCACACTGCACTGAACACTGTAGGCAACTGGAACACAATTGTAAGTATCTGTGTACCTAAACGTATCTAAATATAGGAAAGGTACAGTAAAAACAGGGTATTATAATCTTATGGGACCACCACTGGATATGCAGTCCATCCCCGACTGAAACGCTACGCAGTGCGTGACCGTGCTGTGTTTTATGTGAATTAGCTAAAACAGCACAGCCCAACGTGGCAGCCCAGCTACCGTGCATTTGAAATGCAGCTGCTTCAAACTGAGGTGTGCCGGTAAGTGTAAAAAGTATACACTGGATTTTGAAGACTTAATATGAATAAAAAAGAACAACAAATATCTCATCAATATTTTATTATTCATTACATGTTGAAATAACATTTTGGAAACACTGGGTTAAACAAAATATAGTAAAATTAATTCCACTTATTTCATTTTCCCTTTTAAATACATAGGTACTGGAAAATGTCAATTCCATATGTGGTCTGCATTGTATTTCTAGGGAATAATGCTGGTCTAAAGTATCACACAACAATCCTGTGTACTAGGTGTTGTTATTATCCCCATTTTATGATAAATCTTAGAAATTTTTTCTCACAACATCACAACATCACTAGGTGCCTGAGCTGGGCTGCTTAGGAAACCTGAGTCCTCAGCCCAAGTTCAAAATTATTACGGTACTTTCCTAATGCGTACAAAACATTTGTCCACAGAGCCAGCCAGGGATGGGGAAGCATAATGCTCTTTTAATATCTAGAAATCACAGATATGTTTTCCTGCCTGGGAGTTAGCCTGGCTCTTGGCGCAACCAGAGGGAGGGGCAGCCGATGGAAGCCTGCCAGGCTCGGCAGAACTCACCCTCGGGAACAGCTGTCGGGGATGATGGCTCCAGGACGTGACGAAGGTGACTGGGTGGCTCTGAAGGGACACATCTGCCCCCCCTTTTCTCTGAGGCCTACAAGAGGAAGATCTCTTCCTCCACATCTGCTTGTTTTTGTCCTTGCTGAACTTCCAACATCTTGGGATGGACCAGGGCTCCACGCCAACTGGTACAAAAATGGATATGTCAAGAAGCCACTCATCCATCCATCCATCCATCCATCCATCCGCAATCTTCAACAGATCTTGAGTTCCCACTTTGTGCTAGATACTACTTTTCTCTTGGGATACATGCAGATAAAAGAGAACCCGTTCCTGCCCACCGTCAGTATACAGTAAGAGAGAGAAAATAACCACATAATTGAAGAG